TCAAGAGAGCGTTGTCGCCTTTCTTAAAGAACAAGACCACCGCACTTCTGCTCCACGTCTCCGGAGTAGTGCCACCATGGAGGACGGAATTGAAGAGCTTCTGAAGGACTTCAAGTACCGGTGTTCCACCTGCTTTCAGAAGCTCCGCTGTAATTCCATCCTTGCCTGGGGCCCTGCCGTTTTTAAAGTGCTGGAGAGCCATTCTAATCTCGCTCAGACTGACGTTCGGGGTATCATCGGAATAGTGTCGGATAAGACTTGCTCTTGGATCGTTACTCACACTTGCGTGTGGCTCCAACGATGATGTGTACAGCTGCCCATAGAACCTCTCAATCTTACTCAAAATCTCAAGTGTCCCGGAAACGATGCTGCCACACTCAGTTTTCAGCTTTGACAGTTGGCTCTTACTGGCAGACAGATCTCTGGCAAAGACTTTGGAGCCCTGATTCCGCTCGATCGCTTCTTCAATACGAGCACTATTAAAGTTGCGCAAGTCTCGCCGCATGCATTTGGAGATCTGTCTGTTCAGTTGCCTGTATGCTGTCAAATCTGTTGATGATTGCAGCCCCATCTCCCGTCTAACAGCCATCAGATTAAGAGTGTGACCGGAGAGTTTTTGTGTTCTTCTGAGGCGGGTCTTGCAAAACTTAGCTCCGACCGCATGGACAGTTTCCACGAGCTTGTCGTTCATATCGTCTACTTTATTGCAATCTTCTATGCACTGAAAACGGTTACGTAACTCGAGCTGAAAAGTTTCGGGATTCTGGATTAGAGCACGAGGGGGACGGAGCGACTTCATTAGACGAGACCTCTCCAACTTAACGTTTAGGTTCAGTATGTCTCTCTAACCATTCGGTGATCGCTGCCAGTTTTCACCCTTGCGATCACTGAGACATCACTGAACAGTTAGCGTCTGGTCGTCATAATGAAGTCGATCTCATTTTTGTCGAACCGTCGGGGCTCGACCAGGTCCACTTCCTGTGGGACCGCTTCTGGAAGAAAGAGTTCATCATAAAGAGTCCCTCTTTCTCCAGTCGGCCAGCTGCTTGCCCCTATGGTTCCGTTGCCCTACTCCAAATTTCCTTAACTTTAGCTCACCGCTTTCTCTTGTGCCTAGTTTTGCGTTGAAGTATCCCATCAACACCGTGTAGTGGGTTTTGGAGGTATCTTTAGGCTCTGGAAATATCCTCATACATTTCCTCGACCTCCTCATCGGGATGTGCCGAGGTTGGTGCGTAAACCTGTATGACCTTCAGCGAAAACCGTTTGGTGATTCTGAGTATTAGGTACGCGATCCTCGTCGACACACTCCCAATCTTTACAACGTTGTTGACGAAAGACTTGTGGACGATAACTCCGACACCTCCTTGGGACAGATGGTCGCCCTCCCCGGTGATAGAACAAGTTGCCGGACTCGAGGATTACCGTGTCCTCCCCCTCTCTTCGGAACTCGAATAATTCGATAATATGCCAGCGTCAGTGGCGAAACTAGAGGTCCAAGCTAGGGCAAGTCCAAGATATATATTGATAAAAATATAGATTGTTGTTTTTAGCAGTTTTATAAAAATATACCAATCTTGATCTGTCTCCACGCTTCAGTTTCATATTCAGTGCTGTCAAGGACGTGTTTACAAAGCACACAGAAGGCATACACTGCTAGGTATTACATATCAGCAATTGCATAGCTTCGGTGGCTTTGAAGAAAGCCGTTTGGGTTTGTTTAAGCGAAAGAAAAAAAATATTTACATCATTACAAAAGTAAAACACGAACAAAGTACAAACAAACTATGTACAAAATTAAAAAAAAATTATTTACATTCTAATGGATAAGAGATGCGATAAGATAAGCGGAATCGTCTCGCTTTCTTATGGAAAGATTTAATTAGGTCTACGTAAAATGTTTGTGAACGTTTTAATTGTACCAATAACTGTTTTTAATTGCGATAATTGATAAGTCTGAAATACACTCTTAACCTTGTGTATTATGTCAACAAAGTTTAAAGATTTCCTCTCCGATTATCATTTTAACTTTAACACACTTCATCACAAGGAACACTATTATCCTCCATTTTCATTAAAAATCTTTAAAAAAGCATAAATTTTGAACTCGTATTAAATCGCTTAAGATAAGCACACAGAGTAAATAAACATTGAAACGTGAAATGAACTTGCAAACGTATTACCCGCGCGCCTCCGCTTTTAACAAATTTATTCCCAAAGCCTGGCTTTAAATCTCTATACTAATTGCTATATATACAATCGTAGTTATATTTCATTATAGAATATTTTGCCATAGGTTAGAAAGAGAGCGATAGTCTTCCCCCGTAAAAAGCCCACGCGAGCGAGGGAGACAACTATTAGCTCTATTAAAACTCATTTTTTATGACAGCAGCAGTATCGCTAAGGCAATACGAGGTCATCGGTCGACATGTGTCGAACAGTGGAGTGCGCGGGAAATTTGAAATAGCTTGAAACATTTTACGAGTTATTTTATTAGTTGATATTATTGATTGATTCAGGTTTAATAAGGCAAGCCCGGCTTTTCGGCTTTAATGGAAGCTTCGCCACTGGCCAGCGTAACTTGTCTACCTCTTCTTCCAGCTCCAGTATCTTCTCGTCAGTTCTCAGGGCGCGTGCCTTATATGTTGCCAGGTCGAGTCGTCGTAGATGGCACCTCCCCTGCCCCGCCGTTACCATGGTCACCACCGTAGCCAGAAATAGCGGGGCCGCCGGGGACTGGGGGCAGTTTGTTTGTGTAGTTATTCATGGGGGGATATTTGCCATAGTTGCCACGCTTGGCGAGCGGGTTGGAAACCGCAGTTTTTTTTATTAAATTATTGTTGTTATTAGGAAGATGCTGCTGCCCGTCTCCTGCCTGTCTCCCTCTGTCGCCTCTTACGACACCCACGGGAAGATGTGGGGTAGAGGATATTCTCAACCGCCACTGCACGGTGCCGGAAATCATGCAAATTTTATTAAAATTGGTTAGGTAGTTTAGGAGTCCATCGCGGACAAAGAACGTGACACGTAATTTATGTTTATTAAGATAGATATTCATGAATGAACTAAAATAAGAATAATTAATTATTTTGTATGAAAGTAAAACGTAGTTTATACTATAATTTCCAAAATATTTAAAATCAGAGGTAACAAATTAACTTACTCCATTAATTAATTATATAGTCTCCCATTAAGGTGAGATAATCACAAAAGCGGAAAAGTGCCAACATTGAACCTAAATCGCAATATTCGGGAATTTTATTTAATTATTTGAGGTTTTTACGATTATACTAAAACATGAACTAAAATGTATGTGTGAATAGTGATTTATTGTTTTTGTAGCCTTGAATTGCATTCTTTCACCACGCATTTACCAATTTTTTATCACGGATCGTTTGGCTCAACTCTGTTGGCGTCACATTGAACACTGAACTGACGCTAGCTAGGCATATGGCTGTGGCCATATGTGCAGTGGCAACGCTTTGGCGCGGTAATTATTAATCTAGTGTAACATAAAAATCAATAGTTTTTTGCATGAAAATACACTGCTATTCGGTATTTTTGTAAGAGCTAATTTGACTGGCACGATCACTTGCGTAATGGCGCACGATGACCACAGAGTACTTTTTTATGACGGGAGCAACTAGTTTCATATAACGGTAATATATGCGTCTGACTCTCGTACCTTTTACAGAGGGGTATGCCTTGCGATGCCGTCTCCTTTGGTTTATTACTCAAAGATTAAATACATTATTTATTTACATTGACTATATTTTTTCTCATTTGTGAAAGTTTCCTATTCTCAGAGCCTCTGAGAGTTTTTTTGTTACGTCCTCCCAGGCTATATTCTTCACAATTTTATTTGAGTAATCTGGCAATGTTTTTGCTTATAAATGTGTACGAGACTCCACCTCAATAATTAGCACATCGGGATCTACAGCCCACGTAATCGTATCGAAGTTCTGATGAAATCAACCCAAAAAGGACACGTGCAACTATTGAGCGAGCGCACTGCACACAAACAAACATGTCCGATTGCTGAGCAAACGCGCGATGCACTCATAAGTAATTTAATATGTAGTAATCTACGCTGAACGCAGTGTCAGCGCTTTTTTAGCGCTCATGTGAATAGTAATAAAGAAGTTTCATAATATGGTATTTAAAAAAGCGTCGATTTAAAAGCGCTGAATGCGTGTGAATATATACTTGGGAATGCATTTGTTCTATTTGAATGCTTTTTTAAAGGACATTAATAAGCTTCCGTGCGAATAAAGTCTTACTGATTATTAACTCTCAATTAAAAGCCGCACATAAAAGGTTTTTACTTCTTCTTTATTTTTTAATTTTAAAAACTAATTTTGCATGTTGTACAGTTTCACACTTGCATTTTTTTTCTAGGCATAAAAATTTTAAATCACAGTTAAAGTCAATGTTTATATAAAAATGGTAGATAATTAAATAAATTTTTCTTGGATATAAACATGTAAGAAAATATTGACATACTTTTTGGAATTCAGGTTTATCGAGAAGTAAAATTATATTTTACGCTACATGTTATTTTAACTGTGTTCATGTCTTTGTTGTAGGGTATTTTTAATTTTTAGCTTTGTCCGTTAGCGATATCGGGTATTTTATATTTTACTATTGGCAGCACTGTCCATTGATGTTAAAAAAAATTGCAGAGAATATTTTGTACTTTACAAAAATATTGGTAAAATTTAATTTGACATAATTGTAATTACTTCAATGTGAAAAAATTATTTGTATACATTTATAATTCAATTCTAGATTGGTTTTTAAAAAATGTAACCGTGTGAGAATTTTTAGCAGTTATGATTTCGTGTTATAATTATTCACTTAGTGCCTTGTATTGAAACTTCGTGATGTAAATTATTAATATGATGAAGAAGCGATATTTATGTATGCAAGTATAACGACCGTCAATAGATCTTTTTACTTAAAAGTGAACGTAGTAATTCAGTACATGTCAAAACTATGCAATGTACGCTCCAGATCATCTTAGAAGAAAAGAAGTCCGAGATGTTATGTACCGAAGCAATTCGAGTCTTGACTTGATATACACCGAGCATCCATCGGGAAACGGTTTACGCCGAGAATATGGAAGTCATGGATCAATTGACGTAATAGGTGGAACCGGTGATCGACTGCCAGCTATGGTGCATAATTACAGCGGTGTATCGACTCCTGACAAGCCTCCAGGGTTGGGTCGCGCATCTGATCGTTTGGCCGAAGTGTTGGCTGGCGACCATGCTGATGGACCTCCTCCAAGGTCTAGTGTTAGCCCTAAACCACGTTTAAAGTTGAATAAACTATGGGGTGGAGCAGCACCTGTGATACCACGTCAACATCTAGATGATGGTGCTATTAACTCGTCTGTTCCTGAAGAAACTAAAAGAAAACAGTTTGCTCATTATGATTGTCAATCTCTAATGGCTAATTTAAGTTATGCAGCAGAAATTCGTGGAGCATTATTGAGCAGACGCCGCAATACAACAACTGGAGCATCTGCCGCATCACTATTGGCAACACGTGGATTACCCCCTGGAGAAGATGCTATTCCAGATACTGGAGATGGAAGATCCAATGAGCTGTTGGAAAGTTGTCCTTTTTTTAGAAATGAATTAGGGGGTAAGCTATTAGTGTTTACAAATTATTCTTGTGTAAGCTACATGGCATTCCTGCATGGTGACTCATAGAACTGGTTTCCTGTGATGCATATTCTCATATTCTAAAAGGCTAAGTAATAGTCAAAGTATTTGACATACATTAAAAATAACATTAAATATTAACTTACATTATCAAAATAGAATTTTGTATAAAAATGTATAATGAAAAAAATAAAGAACTAAAAAATGATGATTGCATGAGTGCCAACTTACATTACTGGGTGTAGGAGCTGACTCACAGGCTCAAGGTTGTTGTTTATAGTCAGCAGTCAACATGCTGCAATGCTCACTCCTCATGCCCCATCACTGATAACCAGTTGAGTTTAATGAGTCAGTAGTCTTTTATATCAAATCAAATGCAATCAAAAGTCGCTCCGTGAATGTAGTCACCATGGATAGCTAATGCAAGAATTTTCATGGGGACTACAGTTACCATGGACTTGTTAGTGATTAGTTCATATTGTTAGTAGTATACAATAATTCAATATGTTTAGTTCATACTATAGAATATTACGAGGTGAGGTCAAAAAGCTCACAGAATTACAGGGAAGGATAATGAAATGAAATATTAAACTATTCTATCTGTTCAAAGTATTCTCCCTTCACCCTAACACATTTATTAGATCTGTCAAATAACTTTTTAATACTCTCTAGAAAAAAGATTTGATTGGGTGTCAAAATAGGCCGAAATTGTAGATTTTAATTCATCATTGTCGCCAATTTTTTTCTCATGCGAATATTTCTTCAGTTTTGGAAACAATTAATAGTTGCTTGGGGCCAGGTTTGATCTGTAGGGTGGGTGGCGCAGTTGTTCAAAACCGCACCAGTGAACGGCAGCCGTCACTTCATTGCTTGTGTGCACGGATGCATTGTCGTGCAAAAGAAGCATGCCTTTTGTAAGCTTTGTTTGCCTTTTTTCTTTAATACCTCCTTTATATTGATATTGTAAAGAAGCATAGTATTCTCCTGTTACAGAAACACCACATTCCTTATAATCATTCAAAAGAATACCATTGCCATGATTTTTCCGGCTGATTGAGATACCTTATACTTCTTAGGAAGGGCCACTTTCTTCCCAAGTGACTTGTTTACTCTTTGATAATTCAAAACCTAATGACCCGATTAGGCTAAAACTTGGTATATACCAATACTTATATACAATAATAACAATGAGTCACTCAACTAGCGCCTACCTGGATGAGTAAACTCACCCTCTCCAACCCCGCCATTCATAAACTTTTTGACCTCCCCCCGTGGTTATTGAAATCAGGACTATTGATGAACGTTTTTCATCTTTGTTTTTTCTTTATCAATGCACATAAGTTTACTGCTAGACATAAGCCTTTCACATTGTAGGGAGGATATGTTTTAAACAATAAATAAATTAAAGCTTAACAAGCAGATTGGCAATTACAGTACCACATGTCCCCCATCTTTGCACAGCCCCTGTCACTGTTCTACATATTTTACATCTAAAATAAATGTTGTCATCTATAAGAGTAAGAGGTTTTGCTGGCATTTCCATTATTATATATATTGCCTCTTCAATCATCATGGATTAAAGTGGGAGTGATGGATTCATTCACCAATTCTTGATTAAAACATTATGAAAATTGTTTAAAATATTGATTGTAATCCTCTCATAACAAATTTCAATCACTGCAATTACTTCTGAATATTACAAACTATAAATAAAGTATTTTATTGTGAACAAATTTTTGCACAAACCCTTTTATAAATCAGATGTATTTTCAAATGGAACATAACAAAAGATAAGAAAGATACTACCTATCCAACCTGAAACCAACAGTTTGTTTTGTATAATTGTCGGTTATGTTGGGATCAATTCAATAATTTATGAAGCAGTAGACAGTTATTATGCTATTCTGCCACAAACTTCTTCAGATCTAGCATCCATTGCTTGTCAGTATGCATTCAGTGCTTTAGAACATATGTAATAGTTATAGGTTCAAATCCCGGGTCGGGCCAATAAATTAATTATTGAGTTTTTCTGTCAAGAAATTCTCAGTAGTTGCTCCGGAGTCAGGAAGTTGGCGGTGTCTCACCCCCGTGCCTCGGAAAGCACGTAAAGCCGTTGGTCCTGCGCCTGATCTCTCTCCGGTCGTGTCGGCTTACCATCCCATCGGATTATGAGAGTGAGGGAATAGAGAGTGCACCTGTGTGCTTGCGCATATACTTGGGCACGATAATCCTGTATTGCGCCGATGGCTAGCCTCCGTTGAGGCAGGCCGCCGTGGCCGAAATTCGGTCTGGAGGACATAATAGTTATAGATATAACATAATTTTCCGTCCGTGTAGTGGCGGTCAAGAATATCCACTACCCCATATCTTCCCGTGGGTGTCGTAAGAGGCGACAGAGGGAGACAGGCAGGAGATGGGCAGCAGCATCTTCCTGATAACAGCAACTGTACGACAAAAAAAAACTGCGGTTGCCAACCCGCTCGCCAAGCGTGGCAACTATGGCAATATACCCCCCATGAACAATTACACAAATAGACGGCCCCCAGTCCCCGGCGGCCCCGCTATTCCTGGCTACGGTGGCGACCATGGTAACGGCGGGGCAGGGGGTGCTAAGAATCTCCGGTGGAGGTTCGGTTGCCACCTACGACGACTCGACCTGGCAACATTTAACGCACGCACACTGAGGACTGACGAGAAGATCCTGGAGCTGGAAGAAGAGATAGACAAGTTGCGCTGGAGTATTATAGGATTATCCGAGGTCCGAAGAGAGGGGGAGGACACGGTGATTCTCGAATCCGGCAACTTGTTCTATCACCGGGAGGGCGACCATCTGTCCCAAGAAGGTGTCGGATTTATCGTCCACAAGTCTCTCGTCAACAACGTTGTACAGATTGAGAGTGTGTCGACGAGGGTCGCGTACCTGATACTCAGAATCACCAAACGGTATTCGCTGAAGGTCATACAGGTTTACGCACCAACGTCGGCACATTCCGATGAGGAGGTGGAGGAAATGTATGAGGATATTTCCAAAGCCATACATTCCTCCAAAACCCACTACACGGTGTTGATGGGAGACTTCAACGCAAAACTAGGCACAAGAGAAAACGGTGAGCTGAAGTTAGGGAAATTTGGAGTAGGGCAACGGAACCGAAGGGGCCAGCAGCTGGCCGACTTTATGGAGAAAGAGGGACTCTTTATGATGAACTCTTTCTTCCAGAAGCGGCCCCACAGGAAGTGGACCTGGTCGAGCCCCGACGGTTCGACAAAAAATGAGATTGACTTCATTATGACGACCAGACGCCAACTGTTCAGTGATGTCTCAGTGATCGCAAGGGTGAAAACTGACAGCGATCACCGAATGGTTAGAGGCACACTGAACCTAAACGTTAAGTTGGAGAGGTCTCGTCTAATGAAGTCAACGCTCCGTCCCCCTCGTGCTCTGATCCAAAATCCCGAAAACTTTCAGCTCGAGTTACACAACCGCTTTCAGTGCCTACAAGATTGCAATGCAGTGGACGATATGAATGACAAGCTCGTGGAAACTGTCCATGCGGTCGGAGCTAAGTTCTGCAAGACCCGCCGCAGAAGAACACAAAAACTCTCCGATCACACTCTTAATCTCATGGCTGTTAGACGGGAGATGAGGCTGCAATCGTCAACAGATTTGACAGCATACAGGCAACTGAACAGACAGATCTCCAAATGCATGCGGCGAGACTTACGCAACTTTAATACTGCTCGTATTAAAGAAGCGATCGAGCGGAACCAGGGCTCCAAAGTCTTTGCCAGAGATCTGTCTGCCAGAAAGAGCCAACTGTCAAGGCTGAAGACTGAGTGTGGCAGCATCGTTTCCGGGACACCTGATATTTTGAGTGAGATTGAGAGGTTCTATGGGCAGCTGTACACATCATCGTTGGAGCCACACGCAAGTGTGAGTAACGATCCAAGAGCAAGTCTTATCCGACACTATTCCGATGATATCCCGGACGTCAGTCTAAGCGAGATTAGAATGGCTCTCCAGCACCTTAAAAACGGCAGGGCCCCAGGCGAGGATGGAATCACAGCGGAGCTTCTGAAAGCGGGTGGAACACCGGTACTTGAAGTCCTTCAGAAGCTCTTCAATTCCGTCCTCCATGGTGGCACTACTCCAGAGGCATGGAGCAGAAGTGCGGTGGTCTTGTTCTTTAAGAAAGGCGACAACGCTCTCTTGAAGAACTACAGACCGATTTCCCTTCTGAGCCGCGTCTACGTGCTGTTTTCGAGAGTCATTACGAATCGTCTCGCACGCAGACTCGACGACTTCCAGCCTCCCGAACAAGCCGGTTTCCGAAAAGGCTTCAGTACCATAGACCACATACATACCCTGCGGCAGATTGTACAGAAGACTGAAGAGTACAATTTGCCACTTTGCCTGGCGTATGTGGACTATGAGAAAGCCTTTGATTCCGTCGAAATTTGGGCGGTGCTGCAGTCCCTTCAGCGGTGCCAAGTTGACTGTCGGTATATCGAAGTGCTGAAGTGTTTGTACAGTAGGGCTACGATGGCTATCCGAGTACAGAACCAGAGCTCGAAACCTATCCAACTGCAGAGAGGTGTAAGACAGGGTGACGTTATATCCCCGAAACTCTTCACCGCTGCTTTGGAAGTCGTTTTCAAGCTACTGGACTGGAAAGGATACGGTATTAACATCAATGGCGAGTACATCACTCACCTTCGATTTGCCGACGATATAGTCCTTATGGCAGAATCGCTGGAGGACTTAAGCACTATGCTCAATGACCTCAATAGTGCCTCCCAACGGATAGGTCTTAAGATGAACATGGACAAAACAAAGATTATGTTTAATGTCCATGTCACACCTATGCCGGTAGTTGTTGGGAGCACTATGCTCGAAGTTGTTGATGAGTACGTTTACCTGGGACAAATATTCCGACTAGGTAAGTCCAACTTCGACCGAGAGGTCAATCGACGGATTCAACTCGGCTGGGCAGCGTTCGGGAAATTACGACATATCTTCTCGTCAGGTATACCTCAATCTCTGAAAACTAAAGTGTACAACCAGTGCGTGTTGCCAGTGATGACTTACGGATCAGAGACGTGGTCCTTCACTGCTGGCCGTATGAGGACGCTCAAGGTCGCTCAGCGAGCTATGGAGAGGGCTATGCTCGGAGTTTCTCTGCGTGATAGACTCAGAAATGAGGATATCCGCAGTAAAACCAGATTGACCGACATAGCCCAACGGATTAGTAAGCTGAAGTGGCAATGGGCCGGCCATATAGCTCGTAGAACCGATAACCGATGGGGAAGAAAGGTTCTCGAGTGGCAGCCTCGTACCGGTAGGCGTAGTGTAGGGCGACCCCCCACTAGATGGAGTGACGACCTGGTAAGATATGCAGGAAGTCGATGGATGCAGGTGGCTCAGGACCGTGCTTTGTGGCATTACTTGGGGGAGGCCTATGTTCAGCAGTGGACTTGTGAAGGGCTGTGATGATGATGATGATGATGATAACATAATTTTCATATATTGTGTCCTAAATTTTAAAATGGTCCTAATATGATAATGTATGAGCCTCTTGCTTAACATGGTAATTGCTAATAAATATTATAATGTTTGAATTAATATAGTCTTCTGACTTTTTTCAAATATGTTGCACATACTAACTCAGATATTTATTTATTTACTATTTAGTATGTATGTTGTAATAATACTTGGTAGGATTTTAAAGATGTAAAGATGTAACATTATTTTACCTAATTTCGCACACAATTTTTGTTAGATAGCTTCAGTTAAATATTATAATCTTAATATATTTGTAGGAGAAGAAGAGCGTTGCATTTCACTATGCTCACGAACTGCCCGTGGTGCCATACCTGGTCAATATGGAGGATGGCATAGGCCACGTGCAGCATACGGCTTTTCAGTATTAGAATTCCCTCCAGGACATACACATTGGCGACAAGGTTGTCCATTTGCACGAGCTCTCGCACCATTGCCTGTTGAAAGCCAAGATCTTGGAGCATTGTATTATAGGAATTATTTTTACACCCAACGTAAGTTATACTTGATCTGCATTACTTATAGAAATTAATGTTATTTTAAGGAAAATTGTAAGGTTACTCTCTCACTCTCCTCACTATATGACAATAGAAAGAGGCAGGTAAAGAGATAATTAATACTTAATTTAAATATATGACAATGAACAGTTAAAAGTAAGGTTGTATGTTTTTAATATAATTTATTTTACATTATATTTAATGCTTTCTTTTGTAAAACTGAAGTTATAAATAGAACCTGCAGTCTACCTGGTGGTAAGTGGTTACTACAGATTATGGTCCTGGTAACATACATACCTGGGTCCGATTGTGAATGTAAACCATTCTGGAATTAACTTAATCACACAGAAAATTTTATCAAAATCGGTCCGGTTGATTATATGGAATTCAGACACAGACACATGGACAGATTTATATACATAAAGAAAAATTTACAAACAAGTATCAAATTAAAATTACTTTTCAGCACATCAAAATTGGTTTGGAATGGATGAGAATCTAGGTCCTGTAGCAATTTCGATTAAAAAAGAACGCGTGGAATTACGTCGTGGTGGTGGAGATGCATCAGCGCCCGCATCACAGTTAGCATGGCAGTATCGTATTATTGTGCGTACCGCTGAATTGTTAACGTTACGTGGCTCAGTTCTAGAAGATGCTATACTCACTGCCAAACCTAGCAACAACAGTGCTACATACAATACCAAAGATGTCATGGATTATGTCGCGCCAGAAATACAACTTAGCTGTTTAAGGTACATGCTTCAAAATCTTTATTCTGAAATTGGTGTATGATACATGATACTTAATAGTGTTCATATACATATATTGAGGGTTCATATATTATATATATATATATATATATATATATATATATATATTTTGAGGGTTCCAAGGTCTGGATTTTTATCCTTGTGAAAATTATGTATGTAAATTGCCACTAATTTGACACTTAACAAAATAGAGTAAAATTTAAAAAAAAAACAAAGTAGAAATATTTAAAAAAATTAACAAATTTTATACAATGTTTTTTGTTACTCTGACTTGTATTAAATAAAAAAATAGATTAAAAATATAGCAGTAAGGTTTATATTTGGGTTACGAAAGTATGACCACATATCCGAATTCCGCCATAAGCTCAAGTGGCTCCCGATTCGTCTTCGCAGGAATACTCACATTCTTCATCTTCTTTACTGCATTCTGTTCAATCCGACCACTCCTTCTTATTTGAAAGACCGATTTATATATTTAAGTAGTTTACGATCTCAAAATAATCTCCTTCTAAGTACCCCTAGACATTCCCCTTCCTTCTATTCTAATTCTTTTACGGTTACCGCTATACGACTATGGAATTCTCTCCCCTTACATATCAAAAAATCTAAATCTCTTCCTATATTTAAAAATAAATTAAAACTTTATTACCTTTCCTCTTAAGTTACTACCTGTCGTCATTCATTTTTAATCATTTATGTTCTTCTATTTATCTTTCTTTATCATATTCTGTACACCCCTTCCGCTATCTTTTAAAATAGTATCCTCTGCCCTAAGGTTGCCTGGAAGAGATCGCTGTTTTAGCGATAAGGCCGCCTGTTGTACCAATGTCCCTTTAAATATATAAATAATGTAATATGTTCCTTGGTGTACAATAAAGTATATTTTACTTTTACTTACTTTACTTAGCAGTAAATGAGTAATTTAATATAATGATTTTCAGACTAGGAATTACAAATAGTGGTGCAGAAGAACAATTATTACGTTTGGATGAACAATGTGTGACCAGACATTACAAAGTTGGAGTTATGTATTGCAAGAGTGGACAATCCACCGAAGAGGAGATGTATAACAATCAGGAAGCTGGCCCAGCTTTTGTAGAGTTCCTCCAAATGCTGGGACAGACTGTTAGATTAAAAGATTTTGATAAGTATAAAGCAGGACTAGACAATCGGACTGATTCTACAGGTCTCTACTCTGTTTACACAACATACCAAGGCTGTGAAATTATGTTTCATGTGTCTACAATGCTTCCCTACACACCTAACAACAGGCAACAGTTATTAAGAAAACGACACATCGGAAATGATATAGTAACAATAGTCTTCCAGGAACCTGGTGCTGCTCCATTCACACCTAGAAATATTCGATCTCAGTTTCAACATGTTTTTGTAGTTGTAAGAGTTATCGATCCATGTACTGAAAATACACATTATAGTATAGCTGTGAGTCGTGCGAAAGAAGTGCCTTTATTTGGACCTCCAATCAAAGATGGTGCTGTGTATCCTAAGGGTGATGCTTTTACTGATTTGCTTCTAAGTAAGGTATGTAAAAAATATTATTCAGTTTTATATAGATCAATTAATAATAATTAATTAATAACTTGTATAAGTACTTTTTTCAGTAGGTATAAAACAAATGTTTGGAAGAAATTACTTCCAAATACTTGTCTTATCACTGTTTTTATTTATGGTAGAGTGAAAAAATTAATATAAAAATATGAGTGATCAAATTCCTTTCGTCTCAAACACATTAAGATCTTTAAACTATAAGATAAGCACACAAACTGTTCTGAGACACAGTTGTTAAATAACTAAAAGAAAGTGTTTAAAGTTTTTAAATTATGTTACACATAATTTTAATAATTATTAACGGTGAAATTATATTGATTAATCAACTTCAGGATAATTTTGACATAATTATAAATGCATAACTGATAGAAGTTTGCAACAAATTTAAAATGTATTCATGACTTTCTGACTGATTTTAATCATGACAACCACTCCTAAATATTCGTAAGCTTTTAGAGCTGTCACGAAGACACTCACTCACATTCATACAGTAAAATAGGTCAGGATACAGTGCTAAATAAATAGCGGCAATACAATCAGATGCGAATATTATTCCTGGGCTCCAATTAGCTCCAAAGTTTTTAATAATTTTAAGCATTTAAACATTGCAAAATCAACCTAAAAGAATTATATGAAATGAAATCTATCGTGATTACTATATTAATTTATAGTATATCTTTTTTGCTCTGTAGGTAATAAATGGAGAGAATGCTGCTATACAATCGCCTAAATTCAGCACAATGGCAACGCGCACACGTCAAGAGTACCTGAAAGATTTAGCCAAGAACTATGTTACGGCTACAACTGTCGAAACTGGACAAAAGTTCTGTATGTATTCATTTTATTTTAAATTTAATAAGATCATTAAAAAAAATCCCCAGTTTTATTTGCTACAACTTATGATACGTGTAGTATATTATTTTCTCAATTTTATCGAAGTAAACCATTAAAATATACAATATCCATTTTGTCTTCAGTTTGTTTCATTTCAAGACCAAATCTTTTTTTTTTCGTAGTTGAGGTGACAAAATAGCACACAGACCACCTGATGATGGGCGTAGATATCTACATTTATTCTTAATTAAGAATCATAATGCAGATCTATTGTCACTTCTGAGGACTAAGATGGAATGCCTTGTTTCCAGTGAAAAGGGTCACCATACGTAACAGCAGTATGAAACTGCTATTTTACACTGGTATTCTGTGAGTGCGTGGTCCTTTCCGGTAGAGCCCACCCATTCGTGCTTCAACCATTATGTTATAGCTGCAGATTGGCATTACCATGTAAAAAACTTAGAATCACAAAAATTATATTTACGCTTTATTAACAATGGGAGAGGTGTATTTACCTGCAAATATCTTTTTTTAAATGACAACCTCACCTGCAAGTTGATTATAATTTTGACGGAAATTCCGTACAAAAATGTCGAAGCCGAATTTCATAAACTGTTGACGCCAAGCAGCATACCAGTGCGAGAGTATACATACGCGCTACAATTTTTTCAAGAACCAAGACTTTTGTTGTACGTATGGAATGTGTAAAGTAATATTCAACAATTCGATTTACAGTTATTGCCAAATAGCTTCTTGTTAAAATAAGTTTTTACAAATAGTGCAATTAAAAATGACAACAACTTAATAAAATATTTTGCAGCCTAATTTTATCAAGATGCAATAAATTTCGTGTTAAAAAATTATAATTCAAAAAATATAAATCTTGTTATTGTCACTTAAGCTTTATTTAATTTTTATTTCAGCCATCTTCTCATCATTGCTAATGAAAAGTGGAAATAATTCAAATAGCAACACAGTTATTTCTCGCGTCGACAATTGCACTAATGATGTGCTAGTTGGAGGTGCTTTGTGCTTTCATGTAAGTTTTGAATAAAGTACATGTTCACAGACCATCAACATGTTCATGTCTACTGTGAAGTCGAGGTAAAGAGCATTATCGCCTCTAAGGGCTAAAATTAAATTTCTTATTTGGAAGATATATGCTGTTTCTTGATAGTGATATCTGTGCTATGTTACTAATTCTGGTGTGGCAACCTCTTAAGAACCTCAAGCAGTAACTATAACTAGTTACATCACAGCAATATTACAAAAATATTTTGTCATTTGATATCTTTTGTTCTTTAATGCTCTATACCTATGGAGATGACATGTTAATATTAGTATTATTGGGCTTTGATAGATTATTTATAACCTATATTAAACAAAAAAAAAAATATTTGATAGATTCTTGGGTACTCTTTAAATTAATTTTATATTAATGCCTATACAAAATTGAACACAAATTTGTATTTATATCATCGTAAATCTAAATTATAATATAATTACTTTTAGGTACAAGTGCAGGATGAAGGTGCCGGTGGTTCTTTGCTCGACTGCATAATGGGCGTATCTGCTGACAGCATAGTGTTCATTGAAGACAGTTCAAGGCAGATTATTTTAGTCCTACCGACCAATACTCTACTTGGTATGATTTTATGATTTCAGAATATGTTTTTACGTTCAATTTAATATTAAATTACTAATATTTTTCAAATTAAATAGTAAGTACTGTTTATTGACAAAGAAATTTGAAATATGTGAAATTTAAGTTTTTTATTGTACCGTATCTTTTAATGTAATCTCTACGTAATATTTGATGGCACAGAAATGTATGCTGGGGCTGCCCAACTCCGATAACTTCGTCTGTGACAATATAGCTTATTTATATTTCATTATAATTCCGAAAGAAGATGAAAGAGATAGGGAGATAAGTATAGATGAAATAATGAAAGCAATGAAAAGCATGAAAGTAGGTAAGGCAGCCAGATATGATAGAGTTTCACTCGAAATGCTAAGGGCTGGAGAGGAAGTGGTGGCAGGCCTGCTGTACACTTGTTTAATTTATGTTGGGAACCAAAGCGGGTACCGGGAGACTAGTACAAAGCCGTGATAGTCCCAATATATAAGGGAAAAGGGTAACAGCAGGACTGTAAAAACTACCGTGGTATCAGCCTTCTTAGCACTGTGGGAAAACTGTATGCTAAGGTACTAATTGAAAGAGATATGCAAGAAACTGATGGAAATATTTGGGATGTGCAAGTGGGATTTAGAAAAGGAATGGGGTGTACAGATCAAGTCTTTTCCATGCGCATGATCGCGGAGAAGTTTTTGGCGAAAAACCAAAAAGTTTTTTGTGTGTTCATGGACTTGGAAAAGGCTTATGACATAGTGACAGGGATGTGTTATGGCAAACGCTGAACTGATTTAGGTTGAACGCTGGGTTGATACAGGCATTAAAGTCTCTGTATAGGGACTCGAGTGCTTGTGTTAGGATCAACGGGGCCTACTCGGACTGGTTTGGCATCCATAAAGGTGTCAGTCAGAGCTGTGTAGCTTCCCCGTGACTGTTCAAGCTATTTATAAGCAGTTGTTTGGAAAATTTGAAAGTTGAAGAATGCGGGTTAAGAATTGGTAAGGTAACTGCACAAATGCCTTTTGTATGCCAATGATCAAGTCATACTTGCTTCGTCGGCGGCCGAGTTGGAAATGATGGTTACATTAATGAAAGGTCATTGGTTACAAAAGAAAGGGGAATGAAAGTGAATGCAAGTAAAACGAAAGTTATGGTTTTTGAAAGAGAAGAAAGTAAAACGATATGTGAAATAAGAATAGAAGGGGAGATGGTCGAGTAAGTAGATGAATTTATATATTTGGGATGTGTATTCAGCAGGGATGGGAGACATGATAAGGATATTGAACGACGAGTGAATGCAGGAAATAAAGTAAATGGGGCTCTACACTCTATTGTGAAAAGTCAGAATGTGTCAAAAAAGGCACGTATGGCAATTCACAATGCTGTATTAGTCCCTACTTTAACATATGGCAGTGAAAGTTGGGTGTGGCAGAAGAAGCACGAGAGTAGAATAAATACAGTAGAAATGCGGTCGCTAAGAAGTATGTTAGGGCTGAATCTGAATGACAGGGTGATAAACTGTGTGATAAAAGAAGAATGTGTTTTGCAAGATGATGCGGTGACAAGGATTAAGAAAGGAATGCTTCGGTGGTTTGGTCATGTAGAAAATATGTATTGGGGAAGTGAATGGAAGAGTCGGAAAGTGACGTCCTAGGCGAAAGTTTGTCGACCAAATTGGCGATATATTAAAAATGGGCTAAATTAAGAGTACCCTTAACCGACGAACATGTATGCGTTATTAGATGTGGGAACTCCCCTTTAGGCAAAAAATCGCCTGTGGTGGGAAGAACCGCTCTTTTTACAAACAGTTACATAGAAAACTAAATTACAACTAATATACACTAAAACGAGCAAGTTTACATGTAATTAATATTATTTTTTTTATTTTGTTGTGTTTCCTTCTGCTCGTGTGTGTGTGTGTGTGTGTGTGTGTGTGTGTGTGTGTGTGTGTGTGTGTGTGTGTGTGTGTGTGTGTGTGTGTGTGTGTGTGTGTGTGTGTGTGTGTGTGTGTGTGTGTGTGTGTGTGTGTGCGTGCGTGCGTGCGTGCGTGCGTGCGTGCGTGCGTGCGTGCGTGCGTGCGTGCGTGCGTGCGTGCGTGCGTGCGTGCGTGCGTGCGTGCGTGCGTGCGTGCGTGCGTGCGTGCGTGCGTGCGTGCGTGCGTGCGTGCGTGCGTGCGTGCGTGCGTGCGTGCGTGCGTGCGTGCGTGCGTGCGTGCGTGCGTGCGTGCGTGCGTGCGTGCGTGTGTGCGTGTGTGCGTGTGTGTGTGTGTGTGCGCGCGCGTGCGTGCGTGCGTGCGTGTGTGCGTGTGTGTGTGTGTGTGTGTGTGTTTGTGTTATATAACTAATATTTGTTATTTAATATTTTCAAATACTCACCTTAAGTGATAGTATTGGCGATAACTGGAACCTGTATGCGCTATAAGACCTATGGATACCTACACGTAATAAAGATATGTTAGTTTTTAATCATCAGTTCTGTCTCAGAGTAACTTATTGATTTTAGCCATTCCAAAACCGTTTTCTTACAATCTTTTTTATGAAGGGGAAATATGTTAAGATACTTATTTATTTTATTGTAGATTGAGGCAGACTGCAAAGAGTACTGCCGTCTTGCAAAGTCAGATTTCACTGTGGGAACTACAGCAACTGTATACTTTCTTCTCTTGGCAATTTAGCATCAAAGGGTAGAGATTTGTGCATTCTAAGAACAATGTCTAATATGTATAGTTTCCTAACTGATAGAAGATTAGCTTCCCGATAAAGATCTTCTGGGAAAAAATCTTGGTGGGGTATCTATATGGTTTTAGAAGCATTACTTTTATCAGCAACCTTTGAGCTCGTTCCAGACATAGTAGAGCAGTTTTAGCAGCTGAGCCCCACACTGATATGCAGTATACCAGTATGGATTGGATTGTTGTACTGAGTATTAACCAGTTTTGCTTGTATTGAGTGTTATAAGATGGGATGTGATGGTGTGTGGCAGGGTGGGTGGTGAGCGGCGGCTGGAGCCGCATATTCTACCACCGCGGGGAGAGCGTGCGCGTGCGCGGCGCGGCCGAGCCGCTGCTGCGCCGCCTGGCCAGCGTGGCGCCACCGCATGCGCACGCTCTGCACGAGATCACGCTCGAGCGCGGTCAGGCTGCGCAGCTCGGTCAGTACTCGTGCGCCCGTGCGCTCGCCCAGCGCTCCGTGCGTGCCCACCCACTCACAATGTTATCTTTACGCTAACACACACACACACACTCACACACACACAAAGCAAATGATCACAGTAATGTACTGTGATTATATGCTCAAATTACCTACCCATTGTATGACTCGGTCTGAGTTGCCATAATTTTCAGACAGGTCAGCACTCACAATTTTTTTATGCGGAATCATTACATTGTGAAGATGCCGCTACTTACTTCCGCCTCTTACCCACTTGGCGCTGTGCACCCGTTCAGAACTCTTATCAGCGAAGCTGACCACCTCACAAGTCGTTTACAACGAATTACCATATTACATTTATGTCTTTACCCAGATGGGTAGTCGCAGAGACTTGAAAAGTTGTTCATAGTGATAAAATAATTTATGTGTCCTTTGCGAAGCAACAAACCCTATTCAATCGTACATAGTAGTTAGTTTTCTGTGAGAAAATAACCAACGCGCACCGTAATACCATCAACAAACCTAATACACTATAAAAATATCAGAAAGTTTTTCCACCACAATAATTAAATTTCTGGTGAAGTGCGGTTTTTAATACGAAATGCATAGAGAGCGCGTCTGCCGACATTCCGACTAGTCAAGTGTCTGACATCCGGTTGTCATGCATCCGGCGTGCGTTAAAAACGGACGATGGATTTCTTGTAGTCGGTGATGTCTTTTCTGATAGATTTTTTTTCTGTACGTTTTAAGGGCATGCTTTCCATTCATCCATTGTAGCCTATATAAGTCCACGGCTGAATATAGACTTTCCCCATACATTGCCTCATAGAGTATTGCCGTGCCACGCTTGCCACGCGGGTTGACAACTGCAGTTTTTTATTAAAAAATGTGACGTTATTAAGAAGACGCTACTGCTCATCTCCTGATTTATTTCCCTCTATAAATCAATTAACATATAATATTTATTTTCGGTAACTTAATAATTGAAACTACAAATTAACACTTAAAACAAAAGTACAATAAACATTTATGTTGTGTTACTCGGGCCTGAAACTAGAAGCACAAAAACGCTTATTACAACGCATACTCGTATATGGCGTCATTTGCTAGTTTTTTGTAAAAAGTATACACTTTGGCGAGTATTATAGACATTGGTGTGCGCAAGGCAGCATTTGTGCAGACAATGTTCGTGAGTAGTAAGGCGGCGGTGTGTGCGCAGGGTTCCACGTGCAGCCGGACGGGCTGGTGACGGCGGTGGAGGGCGGCGGCTGCGCGGCGCGCGCGGGCGTGCGGCGCGGCGCGCGCCTGCTGGAGGTGTGCCGCGCCGCCGTCGTCGCGCTGCACCACGACCAGCTCGTCGACCTGCTCAAGACCTCCGACCCCGTCACCGTGAGCACGCACACTATACCCTACTGCCCCACTGCCCCATTACCCCACACGGAGGCTAATGTCCTCAGGATACTAGCCATCTGTGCGAGACAATATTATAGTCCAAAAGTGTTTGCACAAGCACATATGCACATCTCTCATAGTCCGATGGGACGGTAATTCGGCGGTCTTACGTGCTTTCCGATACACGAGGGTGAAACACCCCCAACTTTTTAACTCCGGGCTGCTACTAAGAATTTCTTGACAGAAAAGCCCAGTAACTCAATTTGGCCTGACCCGAGATTCCAACTCAGGATCAGCAACCGCGTTCACGACGAGTATGCCAACGATGCAGTATTTTTCAAAATTAAGTATGTAGCCTTAAAAAATGTTAAACATTGTGACCTACAGGTCATCGATGTTTAACATTTTTTCCTACAATGAGAGAAAATTTTGTACCTTACCATTATTACTACAAAGATTAGTCATTGAATTTATTATTATTCTATTTCAACACTAACTAAATGTCATTTGTCAAATTCATTCAGTACATTCGCGCGTATTTGAATGTTTTATTCATCCGTAAAGAAAGTGAAAAATGAGCTGTTTAAACAATGTCCAGTGTCAGTGTCAGTGAATATATATGTGACACTGGACATTTAATGATTTCTTAAATTTACGCGAACACTACACATTGAATAAAACTATTATTTACGGATTTTATCGCGTTTAATTACTTTAATTTATTTTTATTATTATCCCGACGTTTCGGGTGCTTTACAGCACCCATGGTCACGGGGGGGGACTGAGATGTTTGACGTCCCAATGTCATAGTTAGTCCGGCTACCTTCAGTTTTTTTTAATATTAATTTTTGGTCCGATTTACGCAAAACGAGCTTATAGTATCATGAAGTCTTGCAGTGGTATGCTTGGGTTTGGGTTTAATTTTGTTAATTATAGGATCCCAAGCAGATGGTTGGGTGCTACACTGTGAACGAGTGAAGCCGGCCACAGTCGAGCGCGCGCCTGCTCTACTACCATATGTCAGAGGAGTCACGGACAAGGTTGGCTACATCTTGAAGCGAGCGTCCATTAAGACATACTACAAGCCGCTGAAGATGATTAGTCAATTTTTACCATCCATCAAATGTAATATTCCTCTACAAGATGCAGGTGTGTACAAGCTAGATTGTGAATGTGGTCTCTCTTACATAGATCAAACAAAGAGATCTATAAAAACCTGCGTGAAGGAACATATAGCTGATGTGAATCACCGACACTCCGGGAAGTCTCCAGACTGTGAACATGTTCAAGATCGTCCCCACCATTACATTAGATTTGATAAACCACAAATTCTCGCAAAAGAACACCGATTCCTACCAAGGATGATACGTGAGGCTATTGAAATTAAAAAACATCCAAATTTCAATAGAGAAGATGGTTGGGTGCTACCATCTGCTTGGGATCCCATAATTAACAAAATTAAACCCAAACCCAAGCATACCACTGCAAGACTTCATGATACTATAAGCTCGTTTTGCGTAAATCGGACCAAAAATTAATATTAAAAAAAAACTGAAGGTAGCCGGACTAACTATGACATTGGGACGTCAAACATCTCAGTCCCCCCCCCCGTGACCATGGGTGCTGTAAAGCACCCGAAACGTCGGGATAATAATAAAAATAAATTAAAGTAATTAAACGCGATAAAATCCGTAAATAATAGTTTTATTCAACACTGGACATTGTTTAAACAGCTCATAAAGTTTACTTATTTTGATATAAAAAATAAGTTGTCTTATTTTTAAATTATTCCTTGGTCTATACTAAATGTACGTGTACCATATAGTAAAATAAAGTAATATTTTTTGGCGAACACATAAGCATGGGAATTAATGAGTCAACATATGACATGTCATTAGCTCATTAGATTCGTCTTTATTCTGGGAGTGACATAGGTTCTCGTTTTGGTAAACTTTTTATCGCAGTCGAGTACATCTGTTCGTGTCGAATTTAGTAATTGAATTAAAACTAACTTTCCAATGAGCTAGAGACTTGAATTTTCAACATATGTCAGAATCGGATGACAATGTGATGATGTGAATATGAAAAAAGAGAAATTTTATAGTTTTTGGTCTGTTTTAAAAACGTACTATATTAAAAAAATACTGATTTGACAAAATGTCAAAATACTGATAGTATTTATTTATTTAACTAACTTAAAAAAAGTCCGTGTTTGTCTGGGACTTTGGGTATTTATAACAAAAAAAAAGAGTTTGCCAACTGTGGTACTTGCTTAGCATTAGCTTAGTCACTTCCTTGTTACGACGTAAGCCACTCGTTATGGTTTGAGTAAAAGTAAATCACTGCTGATTAGATATGTACTCTGCCCATCCCTTGGGGATTACAAGCGTGACGCTATATTATAAGTCCAAAGAAAGTGGAGTTCCTCATTTGGATATTGTTAATTGAGGATTAATCTTTTTTATTAAAAAGATTATGAAACTTTGTTGAGACTTAGACACTTTAGCTATTGTACCATGGAGGCGTTAGGCGCACATACATAAATAATTTAAGTAACGGTCTAAACGTAACCTATAATATTTTTAGGAACCAACTCTTTTAGAACCGTTAAGAAGTTCTCACTTCCATCATCAGCTCAGCACCATGAGATGATGACTATCAGACACAAATATCTGAATTGCTTTAGGAAGTACACAAAAAAACATTGTAGGTGCTAATAAAATTTGAGGGTTGCTCTTAATTTTCCTGGAATCCTATCATAAAATCCCGACCTAATGACCATGGAATCACATTAAAAGTATACTGTTTTAATCAATACCCATAAAATTTGAGGGTTTCTCTTAATTTTCCTGGAATCCTATCGTCAGATCCTGACTTATACCTTCCATCATCAGCTCAGCAACATAAGATCACGATTACCTGGCACAAATACCTAAATTACGTTAGAAAGAATATGAAAAACATTGTATGTGCATATAAAATTTCAGGGTTGCCCTCGCTTTTCCCTGGGATCCCATCATCAGATTCTGACTTAATGATTTCTTAAATTTACGCGAACACTACACATTGAATAAAACTATTATTTACAGATTTTATCGCGTTTAATTACTTTAATTTATTTTTATTATTATCCCGACGTTTCGGGTGCTTTACAGCACCCATGGTCACGGGGGGGACTGAGATGTTTGACATCCCAATGTCATTGTTAGCCCGGCTACCTTCAGTTTTTGAATATTAATTTTTGGTCCGATTTACGCAAAACGAACTTACTGTATCTTGAAGTCTTGCAGAAGTATGCTTGGGTTTGGGTTTAATTTTGTTAATTATAGGATCCCAAGCAGATGGCAGCACCCAACCATCTTCTCTATTGAAATTAGGATGTTTTTTAATTTCAATAGCGTCACGTATCATCCTTGGTAGGAATCGGTGTTCTTTTGCGAGGACTTGTGGTTTATCAAATCTGATGTAATGGTGGGGACGATCCTGAACATGTTCACAGACTGCAGACTTCTCGGAGCGTCGGTGCTTCACGTCAGCTATATGTTCTTTTACGCGGGTTTTTATGGATCTTTTTGTTTGACCTATGTAAGAGAAACCACATTCACAATCTAACTTGTACACTCCTGCATCTTGTAGAGGGATATTACACTTGACGGATGGTAAAAATTGACTAATCTTCTTCGGCGGCTTGTAGTATGTTTTAATGGAAGCTCGCTTCAAGATGTAGCCAACCTTGTCTGTGACTCCTCTGACATATGGTAGTACAGCAGGCACACGCTCGACTGTGGCCGGCTTCACTCGGGCACTGTGACGTAGGCGCGGGATCCGAAGCTTGTTGTCTTGCAACACTTGCTTGACATGCTGAAGTTCGACGGCCAGATGTTTTCTGTCACAGATCCCTCGTGATCTCTGAAACAAAGATTTACCCACGGTAGCTAACTGTGAAGGATGATGGTGAGATTCACCATTTAAATATCGGTTGGTACTGGTATAAAACCTCCTCCTTTTTGAAGTCGGTTAAAAAAAACATATTTTTGAGAGTTCTCTAAATGTACCGGTACAAACCGGTTGAAACAGTATTGAAAATTTTTGCTTTGGTGACATAGTGACATCCTCGTAGGAATAGTCGGAATAGCTTTCTACGACCTCAAAACGTCGAGATGTGATGAAACCTCGATTTTCGAAAACTGGCGTGAAACCAAGTCAGCTTTAGACTTGTGATGAGGTATTCTGTTTTATGAACAGGTGACAGTGACCTTCGCGTCGAGCACGCGTTGCGGTTGCGAGGCGATGGGAGAGGAGTGGGCGGCTGCCACGGCGCGTGCGGACGCGCAGCAGCCCGGCCGCGCGCGCCGCGCCGACCGCCACTCGCCGCCGCGCTCCGACAGCTCGGGCTATGGCACCGGTGAGTGCGCGCACACACACTCGCACACAAACACACATACCGCCGCACCGACACACTCGCCGCTGCGCTCCGACAGTTCGGCCTATGGCACCGGTGAGTGCGCGCACACACACACACACACACACACCACACTCACAAGCGCGTGCGCACGCACGCGCGCACACACACGCACGCGCACACATACACACACACACACACACACACACACACACACACACACACACACACACACACACACAGCCGCTGCACCGACTGACACTTGCCGCCACTAGCTGCTGCTGCGTTTCGTCCTACGGCACCGGTTAACCGTTAAACGTGATCCAAAAGTAATCGGTAATTTCCAGTTCACATAAAAACCTAAAAAATTGCGAAATTGCTTGCTTTGAGTACATAACATCAGAAAAAATGTCTACCAAAGACATACACAGTAACTTGGGGGACTTTGATCTACCACAGTATTTCACAGTTGCACGCTGGGCCAAGGAGTTTAAGGTGGGCAGAACATCCATGGAAGATGAACATCACAAAGGATGCCCATCCACGTCCCGCACTGAAGATTACGTCTAAAAAGTTGAAGATGTATTGACAGATCGAAGAGTGACTATCAGGCATAAGGCTAAGGTCACATAGGTCTCTGTGCGTTGGGTACCAAGAATGTTAACCGACGAGCAAAAGAAAAAACGAGTCGACATTTTGAGAGTGGATTTCTAAAGATTCCTAGCAGATCACGAAATTTTTTTGTCACGTTTCGTGACCATGGACGTGACCTGGATCCACCATTTTGATCGTGGAATCAAACAATCTATGGTTTGGAAACGAACCCCCTCACCGACGCCGAAAAAATTCATGTTAAATGGGGATTCATTCATAGGAAATGTTATGGCATCCGTTTTTTGGGACAGTGAGGGAATAATTATGTATAGAATATTTCGAAAACCGAGCCACTATTTCGGACTCTTACCACGCAGGCCAAATAAGAATTTTGCAAGAGGCTATTAGGAAAAAAATGGCGCGGCAAACTGCGAACTGGAGTGCTGTCACCTAGACAACGTTCCGACTCTTAAAGCCGCAGTTACGATGGCTGTGGTTCAAGAAACGGGAGTTGAACTGCTCGAACGCCGTCCTTTTCGCCAGATCTACTGTCTTGACTTCTATTTCCTTGGTTCATAGCGGTTTTTTTCATTCGGTTGTCATTCGGTTGGATAGCGAAGAGATGGACGCTGTATAGGCTTTTTTTGGAGGCACGAAATCAGGTTTTCTTTTTTCTAAGGGAATTCCGGGTTTAGAAAAACGATGGATTAAATGCATTTATTTCTTAGGAGATTACGTAGAAAAATATTTTTTTTTTACTGTAACCACCATGTATAATGTAATGATAAAGAATACTTAATTCATTATCGTTACTTTTGGATCACCCTCGTTATAAGTTCACGGGTCAACAGAATAATAACGAGTATAAACACCGATACGAATACACATAATCCGTTGATTCGAGCTAAAAAACTGAAATCGAGTGGAGAACATGTGAGTACCCGGGCCGAGTAGCGAGCACACCCGAACAAATCGTTTACATGTTCGTACTCATAGAATACTTATAATACACAATAGAATGGCTGTCGACTTCATTTTATACGAGGGTTGGCGTCGCCAAACCCGATTCGCTGTGTTGACAGACTAAGTAAATTAACACATTTTAGACTTTTGATTAATGTTTTAAGATCATCATTAAATTTTAATACATATTTATTTGTAAATAGGGTGCAATTCGGCATTTTCTAAATAATTTGCATGCGAAATTTGGAAACGATTGTAACGTCAAAACACATCTCGTGTTGACATTTATACGTGTGAATTGACGTGTTAGTGACATTTTAGTGGCTACGCGGGCTCCGCCCACTCCCCCGTTCTATTATGTATGTATTATAGTATTCTATGTTCGTACTCGTGGCTATTCGTATGTACTCGGCGAATATCTAAACGTTTCATTACGGTTGTGTTGGCAGGTGGGTCGGGGCGCAGCGTGCGGCGGTCGCCGCAGACGTCGCCGGTGTCGGAGGGCGTGCGGCGCGCCGAGCCGCGGCACGCCCGTCGCCCGCGCTCGTCTCCCGCCGCCCCTGCCGCCCCCTCTGCTCCCGCAACTCCCTCTGGCAAATCGCTTACGGTCAGTAATCGCATCGCTTCTCAATGGACTATGATATTACACTCACGCTATATCATAACGAACTATATTATGCTCTTAAACGACTTCTATCATAAAATCTTTCTTCAATATGCATGCACTAACAAATTACTTTTTTATATCTCGCCATGTGGCTTACCAACACTAAACCAGATGTCCTAGATCTGAGAATTTTTTGTACTATTGACCTTAGTCACGAAAGATTTATGTCAAAAATTTTACAATAATCACGTACGTACAACGCAGCAATCAGATCAAATTAAATCTATTTCCTGACATTAGCAATGTTACGTACAAAAACATATTATCAAGTGTTGTGTATTACAGGAAGAGCTCATGCGTATAATGGACGCGGAGCTTGGTGAAGGGGGATCCCGCGGTCCGCCACTGCCGCTGCCCGACGCGACCGCACTGGACTGGGCCACGCTCGTGCACACGGCCACCACGGCCATGCTCCAGGTATAATCCAAATTTGTTGAACTTCGTAAGTCACGTAATAATAGGTCACATGCAACTTCTTCAATTGGAGCAGAGTATTTCTACTACTTTGAGAGGATTGCGTTTCCGACGCTCGCACACTCCCTCTATCCCCGCGTTTCTACTAGTGACCAATCACCGTTCTGGTGTTCCCTCCCTAGTTTTAATGACGTCTTAGCTGTCATGCGCCTAAATGTTTTGGTCACGGAGTATATATTACATTCGGTACATACCCTGTCACATGTTGCATTTGCTAGTCGCATATCACATTTTTTACTTATGCATATTGCACTCGATAAGTCCTATGTATATGTTGCACTCGGAGCATATCGCATGTCACTCGTAGGACTGAAATTATTCGCCTCATTTTGCTATTCTGATATTTCGTATACTTCCAGAACACTGTTCCTGTAAAGCCGGATGATCCGGATCTTGGCCATCATATCAACTAAATTATGTGATAGGCCGCACTAAAATGCAAATTCGCAAATTTAAGATGACCGTCAACAACATTTGCCCTCATGTGTCTGCCCGTTTGGATTGCTCACTTTGACACGTCACCTCCCCCTCCGCTTACCGCAGCCCCTTCCGTCATCATTGCGCCGCGCCGACCGCCATCATAATAAAATAGTTATTGCTGATCATGCGACAACTTTTTTTATATAAAAATGGCTATAAGTGAGTTATCCTTAGGAGATAGATATATGCTGCCGTGGACTTTTTTTTTAGAATTTTTTTTTTTTAGAGGAACAATTCAGCCATACATTATTTTCGCATAACTTTAACTATTAATGCAGCGCACGCTGTGGAAGCTCTCAAGAGTCACGACTTTGTACGGCTGAGTTGACAAATATTACCATAAGGTTTAGCCATAATGTAAGCATATACACATCATATATAGCCTATGTCCATGTGAAATAATGTACCTTTCAAATGGTTATTTTTTATAGGATAGGATGACAAGCGAGCACACAGTCCACCTGATGGTAAGTGGTTGCTGTGGCCCATAAACATCAACATCTATCCTCGATTAAGAATCAAAATGCGGATGTGTTGCCACCCCTGTAGACTAAGATAGAATGCTTCGTTTCCAGTAGAAATGGTTTCCGGTTCTCTACACTCACCATACGAAACACAGCAGCATTAAGCTACTAGTACCCGGTTGACCGAGCTTTGCTCGGTATTTTTCGCTCGTTTTTTTTTTTAATTCGTGTGTTTTGGGAATTATATTTAGATACAAATTACATACTGATGAAATACGAATATTTTTTGATCGTAGCGACATAATAGAAAAAACTGAACTGGTTATTTGAATAAAAAATCATGAGTGCAATTAGTTTAATTTAAATTTTCGTGTTTTTAAAAAATACTAAAAAAAGGGAACGAAAAAATAGATTTTCTCAAAAAAAAGAAAGGAACTTGAAAAAAAAATTAAATTAAAAAAAGTCGGTCGGTCGGTCTGGGCTCGAACCATGGTATTACGATTTTGTGACCGCCCAATATACCAATTAAGCTATTTGTAATCATTAATAAATTGTCAAAAATTTACCTTCTTATTCTAACGATATTGTAGCAGTTTTTCATTGCCTAAAAACACTCAGAAAAAGAGATTTTCTAAAAATAAATACTAGCTAGATCGATTTATTGCCCCCGGAACTCCCTGCACACAAAATTTTATGAAAATCGTAGGAGCCGTTTCCGAGATTCCGACTTATATATATATATATATATATATATATATATACAAGAATTGCTCGTTTAAAGGTATACGATTTTACGCTGGTATTCTGTAAGAGCGTTGTCCTTCCCTGATCGAGCCGACCCATTCTTTCTACAACTATGCTACTAATATAACTACAGCATGGCTCTACCACTGTATGTATGGTGAAAAAAATATTCAAATTGGTGCAATGGTTCCGGAGATTACCCTCCACATATATACAAACCCACAAAATTCGTACTTTCTCTTTATAATATTAGTATAGATTATGTTAGTGATTTTGATATATTAAATTTTCAAGAATAACTTGTACTTTAATAAATATTAACTTAACCGTATTATTCATCTTATTTGGATACCAAAACTAGTGATATCCGGGTACAATATTCGACGGATATTCTGATATTTTTACTGTCTATCTGACTCTATCACATCTGTCTGTATCGCTTACACAATAATAAAGCAAATCCTTTTGCACACAAAAGTACTTTTTAGGTAAAAAGTTTGTTTGAAATTAAGTCCTTTTGACAGTAAATATGCAATAATGTTTTTCATGGAAAAAGTAGCTACTAGGAAAAAGTGTTTTTTTTTTTAATTTATTAGAATCAACAAACAGTTTACACAATATTTTTTAATCTAAAATACATTCACTACAAAAATATAATATAATAGTGCAACCAACACCGTTGACCACCAATTACTATTACCAAATGTTTAGATTGATAAAAGCGTACAACTTTTTCATATAATACAGTGATTGTGTTTTCAAATAACACAATAATAAAAATAAGAATTATTGTAATAATCAATTATACAAACTCATTCTCCTCTAAGTACTGAAAGTAATTCTTTTTTTATAAATACCCACCTTGTGAGCAAAAATGTCAATATTATTGAAAGTATTATTATAACAATTTAACAACATATATATGGGGGATCTTTTACCTACGTTGGTTCGACATTTATTAGTAAAAAATGTGTAGTTGGCACGAACTCTGCGACACAATGGCCTATTTGGTACTCTGTATTGTATCATTTTAACTGTTCTATACTATCGTACCTGTTATGACAAATATCGTACAGTAACATAGCTTGAATCTGTTGACGTCTGGATTCTAATTTTAGTAAGTTATATTCAACCAGCAGTTGATAGTAGGGTAATTTAACTCGTCTGCACTTGTAATTTACACTACGCAAAAACTTTTCTGAATGGATTCTATTTTATCTATATATTTATTATAATACGGACACCAAATAGCTACCGCATATTCCAGTTGCGATCTTATTAAAGATTTATAGAGGTGTAAATAAGTCAGAGGTTTTTTAAATTCACTTGCAATACGCATCACGAATCCATACATTTTAAGAGCCTTATTAATGACATTTTCAACATGTGTATCAAAGATAAGTTTACTATCTAATATTATTCCTAAATCTTTAATTTTATAAACTTTTTCTAATGGAACTCTACATAAAGAATAATTGAAATTACTTACCTGTCACTTACGGGTAAACGTTATGGCTTTACATTTATTAACACTCAAATCTAACTTATTGTTTTTACAGTAAGTTGTAAAATTATCTAAATCTTTTTGAAGGTTAAGGTGGTCATGATAATATTGAATTTTGCGATAAATTTTAATATAATCTGCGTACAGAATAAAATTACAAAACATGAAACAACTATTAACATCATTAATGTACAGGACGAAAAGAAGAGGCCCTAAGATTGATCCTTGTGGCACACCAGAACTTATATGCACAATATCTGACTCAAAACCTCTTATTACTACTTTTTGTGTACGATCTGTCATATACGACTTAAACCATCTCCACAAGTTACCACGGATACCATTAAAGGCCAGCTTTTCCAGAAGTAGTTTATGGTCTACGCGATCGAAAGCTTTGCGGAAATCTGTGTATATGCAATCAGTCTGGACGTTACTATCCAGATTCTCAAATAAGTAGTTTGTATAAATTAATAAGTTAGATATAGTTGAACGCTTCTTAATAAAACCGTGCTGCTGTGGAATTATTATATTGTGAAGACTAGGATATAACACATTATGTATTAACCTTTCAAAAGTTTTAGCGAGTGTTGATAAGATCGATACCGGTCTGTAATTCTAAACATCTTTTTTTGAGCCTGCCTTGTAAATTGGTACAACACCAGCTGTTTTCCAAATAGATGGACATATGCCATCTTTTAAGTATTTATTAAAAAGGTAATGAATTGGTTTTGCAATAGTATGTGCTGTAGCTTTCAAAAAATAAGGAGGAATGTTGTCAATACCAGCTCCTTTATTCGCGTCTAAATCTAAAAGGGACTTTGTTACATCTTTTTCAAAAATAGAAATGTCAGTAATAACGAAATCACAATTGTTATTATTTGATATATTAATGATATCATAATTCAAATCATCAGTAACTGAAGTGGGTTCAAATACCGAAAAGAAAAAATCAGAGAATAAATTACATACTTCCTTGGGGTTACTAGCAAATTTGTCTTTATAAAAAATTTCTGACGGAGTTTCTAGGCTACTTTTGCAATTTGTTACATATTTCCAGAAATATTTAATATTTTGCTTTACACAATTCTCGACAGTATCCATATAATGAGCATAACGTAATTTAGATTCAGTTTTAAAACGTTTTCTGTACAATGCGAATGTTCTATAATCTGACAAATTTCCGTACTTTTTCCATTTAACCCAACCATTATTTTTATTTTTGAAGATATGTATCAGTGATGAATCAAACCACTTAGGAAAATTGCTTTTTTTTTACAGTTTTCCTTTCTATATATTTGCGTATAATACCATATATTCCGTCATAAAATAAGTCCACAGCAGCTTCAGCAGAAACGTCGTCTTTCATCAAAGCCTTCCATTCAGTATCTAATATTACTTTATTAATCAATACGTAGTCCGCACTTTCAAAACAGTAACGTGTGTGTTTACTCGGCATGCCTCGTATCTTCTCGGCAAACGGTACTATTACATAAAATGGAGGATGATGTTTATCAGTACTTACTAAAGGAATAAGGGCTGGACATAATATATAGTCATTTATGTTAGTAATAAATAGATCTAGAATAACATTATTTGAATTTTTACATGTATTAATTTGTGTAAAATTATAAAGTGATATAAAATTTATTAAATTTCATTCCAATCTATAGATGGCATATTGTAGTCTCCTACTAGATAAAAATTATTACATAATTGGTATTGATTAACTATACCTGACAAATATTCTATATAGCTCAAGTATAAATCACTCTTTTGGTTAGGCGCAATATAGACAGCATTTAATAGATAAAGTTTTTTGCCACCCCTAATCTCAAGTGTAACGTAATCTATAAGTGGGGAAAGTGCGGACGCAGAGAAAGAAGTCCGGACCTCGACAGTGCTAAGCGTACTGCGTACCGCTATGAGCACTCCCCCACCGTCCCTCCGATCACACGCATCACGATTTCTGTCGCATCTATACACAGTATATCTGGTATCAATAAATTCGTTATCAGAAATATGACTATGTAACCATGTTTCCGTTAAAATAATTACATCATATGCATGAGAAAGAAAGTTCGTATATATAGTATGTAATTTGGTACGAGTCCGTGTTGTACTATTTTGAAATCCAGTTTTTCAGTTGAGGGTCAGTTTTTAAAACAACTTTCCTATGGTAGTATAGTATATTTTTAAGACAAGGTGTCAAAGTTATATGTTAAAACGTTTTTAACCATGATTTAATTTCACTTTTTTTTGTACTAAACTCACAATATCTCACACAATCTCTTAATATTGAATTTGTGAATGCAATCTATAGCATAGTTATTTAAGATTACATTAGAAAAAAAACTGAAAAGTTAAGAAATTTGCGAGCACAGTATCTAAATATATGATCTCGGTTGTTTATTTTCAACATTTTCAAAAGTATACCTATTATCAATTAACCAAGTAACATGGATATTTTTTTTTATTTTTGCTAGAACTTGTACAACCTAGCTTGTCGTCTCGTATCCGCTTGACGTTGAGTTTCGGAACAACCTGTAGGACACAAGACGGGTTAAATAAGAATACAGATCCTACCGAAAGTCCAACAGAATCACAGACCGAATTTTAGCCCACTCATTTTTCTTAACAGTATTTTTTTTTAAATTACGCGAGCGGCTTTTGTCCAGGTGAACCAGCTTTTATTTTGCATAGATGGAAAGGTAAACTAATATAAAATCTCGAAAAACTCATAAACATTCCTTATATTAGATTATATTGAGAGGGTAAATCGAAACTGAGTCCTCGCCTCACTCGCGATGAGCTACAAAAGCGCGAGGGAAAGGGATGACTTAAGTTACCAATACAATAATACGCTCTCACGGAATAGCTGCTCAATGCTGCTGTGTTTCGTATGGTGAGTGTAGAGAACCGGAGACCCTTTTTTCTTGAAACGTAGCATTCTATCTTAGTGCTCAGGAGTGGCAACGCATTTAGATTTTAATTCTTAATCGAGGATAAATACCATAATAACCATCTCACGTCTCTTTGGCTCTGAAGATATGCTCCAAAGATTTCTTAAGTTACTACAGTATTGAGTACAATGTAATATTAAGTTGCCACTTAATATTACATTGTACTCAGGCAGGTTTAGTTTTATTTGATTTTATACAACACTTATGGAAAGTGTCTTGAACCGCAAAATTCATATAAATCTTGTTTGCTTACTTTTGTATACTATATATTGTTGACTGCCTCGTTGGTCGAGTGGTTCTAGTAGTGCGACTGCTAATCCCGGGCGTTGCATTGCTGTTCGAATCCCGGGTCGGGCCAAAAAAATCAATTATTGAGTTTTTCTGTCAAGAAATTCTCAGTAGCTGCGCGAAGTCAGGAAGTTGGTGGTGTCTTACCCCCATGCCTCGGAAAGCACGTAAAGCCGTTGGTCCTGCGCCTCTCTCCGGTCGTGTCAGTTTACCGTCCCATCGGATTACGAGAGTGAGGGAATAGAGAGTGCACCTGTGCTTGCGCATATACTTGGGCACTATAATCCTGTCCTGCGCAGATGGCTAGCCTCCGTTGAGGCAGGCCGCCGAGACCGAAATTCGTTCTGGAGGACATTATTATTATTATATATTGTTTATAAACACGCAATCTTAATTCTAGATATGTGAAGAACATCAGTATCCGTCAATAGACAACATAGAATCGCCGTTGGACGCATCTACTAATGAACCCTTACAAGACTCTTGGCCCGAAGGACCAGTAAGTATCTTCACTTTTGTAATACATATTTAAGCTTTTTGTAAGTAAGGCTACACACGTAGGTCACCTGATAATACATTTATCTACCTGATCCATTTATGTCTTTTTTTACCTCATATATCGTTCATTTTTGTCACCATGCGAAACAGCATCATTATGTTGCTATTTCACGCAGGTGTCCTGTGCAAGCGTGTCCCTTCCCCGGTTGAGTCGACCCATTCGTGACACAGCTACGAGTATAGTACATTGTAGCGGGGCTCCGACTTGTGAAATTTTAATAAATTTATTTAGTTTACGCTTTATAGTTATATATAAACGCTAATTACATATTACAGTAATGAGCTAATGGTCTTATCAGTATTATGATTTAAATTTCATACAGTTTTGTACCATAGTAGTACAATTTCGAAGTGTATAAAAATTCATGATCCAAATAATATATTTAAAAATTATAAATAATATTATTATTATAAAATTGATCAAGCCCTGGTTTATAATAACATTAGAATGCAATGTATTGCACATATTCAGCTAAAAAAATTAAAGCAAACCTTCTATATTCAATATTAAACCCTGAAACTAACTCTCTTTCTCCTTCTGCAAAATTAAAAGGAGTTCGATTAGTTTCAGCTAATCTTGAAGAAATTCAACATATTCTTAAAGGTAATATTAAAAGAAATCCAATTAAATTCTGATAAATAAAAAATTTCATTATATTAAAATCTATAATTGATATAATTCTTGATAATATAATTAAAGCTAATCTTACTTTATAAGAAATTGTTTGTGCAACAGCTCGTAAGCCACATAAAGAATAATTAGAATTTGAAGATCATCCTGCAACCATAACAGTATAAACTCCTATTCTTGTACAACATAAAAAAAGCATAATTCCTAAATTAAATCTAATTATATTAAAATAATAAGGCATTAATATCCATACTATTAGAGATGAAATAAAGCTAATAATAGAAGAAAAATAATAAGAAATATAATTAGAATATATACTTTGATTGACATTGAGAAAACCTTGTTCTGTAGTAAATAATTTAATAGCATCAGAAAAAGGTTGTAAATTTCCTAAATATCCAACTTTATTAGGACCTTTTCGAATTTGAATATAACCTAAAACTTCAACAGGTCACACAAGTCAGAAAGAATATTAAAAAAAAAATATTGATATATTGGAGCGATTAGCCCTCAATCTATAATTATTACCGTGTATTAGTGACATTCAAATTGTACTTTAATAATCACTTGTAACTTTTATTTTTGTGGCATAGCACCTAAAACCTTGTATTTCATCACTACATCGCTCCTTAAGATAATTCGTGGTGGCGTTTAGGCCATACAAACGTATTGCTTTGTTTTCTTTCTGAATAATGACACTTGTAGCGACGCTGTCGTCGCGCCATTAGCACACCGAAACACACCGAAGCCTAAATCACGCTATTAACATTCCGAATCATAGACAGTATATATAGAACATCTCCGAACTATCACACGGAGTGTCGGCCGCTCCCCGGGCAGAACACCTTGCCCGGCGGGAGATCTCCCCTTTTCCTACCACGGCCACAGTGGTGACCCCGACGTGATCTGAACACGCAACCAAACAACCTTCGGAAACTTCAAGCTTCGTCATCGTCATAGAATACCCCACCCATTCGCTCCCGAGCAGATATCGTCTGCAGTCTTCATATTCTGCAAGCCATCTAGCTTCACAAGGTTCATCGCAGCACTGGAATAATAATGCTTCCTGTTCCTTCAAGCTACTCTCTGCGCTGTACAGTGTTCGGCACGGCTCTGAGCCTTACTGCTCGCCTCTGCTTCACGGCACTCTCGCAGATTACTTGCCTCCTTCTCGACTCACCGTAGACTACAAGGCAATCTCCTGGCACTTGCACATTCGTCGACAACGAGACTGCACTATCGACCTCCGGTCTGAGCAGGGGGGTGATGTAGCGACGCTGTCGTCGCGCCATTAGCACACCGAAACACACCGAAGCCTAAATCACGCTATTAACATTCCGAATCATAGACAGTATATATAGAACATCTCCGAACTATCACACGGAGTGTCGGCCGCTCCCCGGGCAGAACACCTTGCCCGGCGGGAGATCTCCCCTTTTCCTACCACGGCCACACACTAGAGTAAATATTTCTTACGAAACAATCTATATGTACTACTGCCGTACTCCTATTGCTTTTTTAAAATCTAGCATTGCACCGTCATTAACGAATAAAAAACATACAGACAGTTGCGTAATCCTTCAGATAATGTTAACAAAGAAAAATTTAAAACTGTCTAGTTTTGAAAGAGGAAACAGGAGAAAACGTGATGATGATGTCAAAAAGAAATATTTCATAGGTATAATCAGTCTAAGCTACAGTCGTCTCTGTCCTTTGCCTACCTCGGACACGCAGGCAAAGCGAGAAAGCAATAGATCGTAAAAAAACAATTGTTGAAGTTTCTTGCAGCTTGAATATTGGAGACATAAGGATAAGCAAGAAAAAAAAAACCTATATTAAAGTCTGATCCTAAAAACCATGGAGGTTAGAAAACAGGAGAACGTTCGCCGTAGAAAATAGTGTCCCAGAAATATGGACACCGTAAGTGAGGCGCTGCGATCGCTAAGTTCGCTCAATAAAATTCATTTTCAGTCTATTTTTCTATTATTCCTATTTTTCACATCCGCGCAAAATAAAATGTTTCTCCATTTTTTAATGTTTCTTTTTGTCAAAAATTAAAAAATTACGGGGATGAAAATTTTCTCATCAATGCCGCGAAGAAAATTTGTACATTATTCAACTAACTTCATCTACTTGTACTCATAAACAGCTAACTTCGCAGTCACTACTCACCGACGGCAGCTCGGCTATAAATTCTACAATTTTTAAGGACAGGCGGGCTATGCCGGGCTATGCAGCGATCGTTCTCCTGTTCTCTAACCTCCATGCTAAAAACTCAAGAACCGCCATTTTTCTTCAGATGTCAGAGACGTCAACGTCGATATCAACGGTGATGTCTAACAGTCCCAGTGGCATGTCGAGTGGGGCGGCGAGTACTGTGGCGGGCGGGGCGACGAACGGGGCGGGCGGCGGGGCGTCGTGCGCCTGCGGACTCGCCGCGCGGGTGGCCGTGTTAGAAGCGGACGCCGCTTGCGCTCAGCGACAGAACAACCAGCTGGAAGAGGAGGTTAGTATTTTTTTTATAGGATAGGTTGACAAGCTAGCACACAATCCACCTGATGGTAAGTGGTTGCTGTGGCCCATAGACATCTACATCTATCCTCAGTTACGAATCAAAAATTCAGTTGTCATCCGTGAGGACTTAGGTGGAATGCCTCGTTGCCAGTAAAAAGGGTCTCCGGTCCTCTACACTCACCATACGAAACACAGCAAGCATTAAGCTACTATTTTACGCTGGTATTCTGTGAGAGCGTGGTCCTTCCGCGGTCGAGCCGACCCATTCGTGCTACAACTATACTACTATTATAACTGCAGCATGGCTCTACCACGTAAAAAAAGTATTTCAAGTAACGATAATATTTTGCGTTTTTGATGCATTTTTTTATAGGAGAGCGAGCAAACGAGCATGCGGCTCACCTGATGGTAAATGGCTACCGCCTCCCATGAACAACTGCAACACGAGGGGAATCACGGCTGCGTAGCCGGCCTTTTAAATACAAGTACAGTCAAACCTGGATAACCGAGTGTTCAAGGGAGCACAATCTCATTCTCGCTTATAGAGGTTTCTCACTAACCCGAGTTTCTCGCTAATGCAGGTACATGGGTAGCGTTTTCTCTCTTATAGAGGTACGCAGCAATAACAAGTACGAATGTAGTAAATATGTAATATGATAAAATTAGGTGAATAATATGCACAACATGTATGTATATCTACATATATATTTTTAATAGTGTGTATATGTTACGTTCATTAGATTTCGACATATAAGTACTTTATAAGGGTGGATTCTGGTACATTAAACTCTCTCTGAATTTCATTTCGCGATTTTCCGGGTTCAAGCGCATTCACTATTTCAAGTTTATCACTTAATGACGGTACTTTAATTTTCCGTTTTGACATGATGCAGAACAGTACTTTCCTTCGCAATTGATTAACTATAAACTGAGTTAGTCCGACATACAGGACGGTACACGTGTCCATTCGAAAAGAATGCGATAAAATAACAACGTTATTTAGTTCCACGAAATAGAATAGGTACAATATTGACGAGAAAACAATACAAAAACAATGGTAGGAAGCTCCAGGAAAGTTAAGAATGGGTCATAAAATAGCAAATGTTAAATTTGTAATTTGTTTTGTCATTTGTTACTGTATGAGTGTATCATTTATGTATATCTTTTTTTATTGTAGCTATAGTTCCTCCTAAATAATATAAATAAATAAAGCTCGACTGTCGCTTATAGAGGTGTAGATAAGTAGCAGTCTCACTTACGGAGGTCCATGAGGGAAAACGACTCTCTCTTACAGAGGTTTCTGTTTCTCGCTAATAGAGGTTTTGGGAGCTTAAAATGACGGGTCCTGGCTATTACTCTCACTTATAGAGTTTTCTCACTTATCCAGTTCTCCCTTACCCAGGTTTGACTGTAGGCTGTTTTCTTGATGGTCCCTAAGTCGTATCGGCCCGGAAAAATCGCTGGTGGTAGTCGATTCTACAATCAAGTTGTGCGAGCTAGACAACTTGTAGTAAATGGCACAGTGATGTACTGCTGATCATCCATATGGTATGGCTGATAGCACAAACTTTATCGCGGTGTACGATGGTGAAATTGAGCGGCTGGAATTAGTGCAAACAATTCCTCTGAGCACTCCTCTGTTCGAAGTCGGGTAATAATCTTCCGCTCACCAAATGCCACTATTTCGGACCGAGGTGAAGTTTTTTGTTACACAATGTCATTTATTTGAGAAGATAGTTTTAAATCTACTTAATAAAAATATTATCCCTCACATATTCCTAACGAATTAACTTCCTTGCTATAAAATCTGTCATATATTTCCACTCATTCCATAGTGACGCCACTCTGATGGCTGAAAAGTCGTCATTGCAGTTCTATTACTATTGTCTGGCTTGTGCAAGTTGATTCCTCCATCTATCAGAGACTAGAATACTTTTGTGGAATTACCCTTAGTCGTATCTTGCTATAACGACGCAGAAGGGGCAATATGGAATGATAAATTTTCTAAATTGACAAGTTACAACAATTCAAAAATATATGAATTTGGATGATGAGCACTGAAATTGAAAAAAATAACTACCTACCGATAATGTCGTGTAAATTGAATTTACACACATGATATAATGTAGTGGATGTCGACATTTACGCTGTTATTAATTATGTTAATCAAAAACACTGAAATTAATCGCAAGCATTAATTAGACACCTGTCCACAGACGATCATCTATTAGAAGAAAGTATAAAAATCAAGTATGAGCTTAATTGGTTGTTCTTTTTGAAATCTTTTGTCAAGAGTTTCTTATACGTGGTAAAGAATATATCACTACGCGAAAAGAAACGACACTTAGCATGTGTGCCGTAAAATCGCTTGCGGCTATGTGTGGGTGTCTGGATGTGTGCGGGGGCCTTGAGAGGCGCGCGGGGTGTGGAACGGGCAGTCGCCGACTGCCCTGGCCGAGGGCTAGTAGTAATACCGATATATTTCGTATAGTTAATATGAATATATTCGTAAGTGATTAATATTTCAATTAATACATGAATATTACCGATATCTTAATGTACATATTACTATTCTATTCATGTAGGTATTAAGTTTATGTTACCAGTAACGTTCTTAGTTTTAATAGCCGTGTATGCTATTATATGCTTTGATAAATATTTTTGTTTTTATTAAATAAATGATATTATAGTATATGTATAAGTATTATGAATGTGATTTTAAGTGATTACAATTAAAATAAATTCCACTGCACAAAACAAGGGCCCTTGTTTTGTTAATTTAATTTTTAATAATGTTTTTTCCTTAACAAGTTATGGGGAAATACCATGGCAATAAAATTAACTTATATATCGCCAATAATTTTATTATATATATATATATATATATATATATATATATATATATATATATATATATATATAATATATACTGTTCCAGGTACGTCGCTTAAGACGTCACAACGCGCGGTTACGTGAAGAGTCTGCAAGGGCAGTGTGGCAGCTCAGACATTTTACGCAGTGGCTGAAGCGAACCGTCGACAGGCAGTGATCCACTTCCCTTATGACTACTGGGTGTTCAACTCAACAACAGAGCCTATTGTAAGCTCGAAAATATGGAAGAGAACTAAAACGTATTTATAAAATGATTCGCTATCGTCAATTTAAAGTAGATTTCAATTTTAATTAAAGGAGGAAAGTCATTTCGATTAATCCTTATGACATAAATTAGACGTTACATAACAATGGGAGTTAAAAACAGACCTAAGAAAATAGTGTTAACAGTAATTTGATTCTCCATGAATTTTCACCATAAACACTGAATTTACTGGAAGTACATAGATAATTTTATATTTCTTTATCATAGACTAATAATTTAGCGACATACCTAATGGAATATGGTAAATTGGTACATACATAAAGTTACAAATATTAAATATTAAGTGACAGTACTGCTCTACTTGAGTTTTAATTTTTTTTATATCCAATGTCTTGTATGTGTAATTTTATATCAAAAACTATGAACCTGTGAATTACGCGCTGTTTCTTATGAATTTTGTGCCTTTATGTGCTTGTTGATAAGGCCTTTGTTTGGCGTACATTACGAATACGTTGGTAGTAATGATAACCATATATGCATCGACATGTTTGTTTGTTATCGGCTGAAGTTATACTAAATGTATATTAAACGTTGCTGTTTCTATCGTATTAACATACACAAACGTATTGTTACATTACTAGTTAAAGTAGCCTTATATTAGGTAGATTTTATCGAAATCTTTTTTATATTATCACTTGATTAATTTATTATTCGTGTAGGTATCCAAAAATAATTATTAACTTAGGATTAAACTACAACTATAATTTGAACACCAATTTAATGTATTGTATATTTCTACGCAACCAACAGCTGCTAAGTTGATCACAAGTCAATTTATATTTAGAATGTATTAAGTCTTACTGAGTAATCGAAGGTAGAATTTTTAGCATAATGAAACGTTTAAGTATGTAAGTAATTAGTGCGTAATTTGTTATTGTATACAGACTTTTACCTGCCAAATATTATTACAGTAAGAATAATTGCGTTAGCACTAAGCTGCTCGTACTCGGCATCACGCAAGACATAATATGTTTGTACATTAACTTCAATTTTATACATCGTTTATTTCCTATAGCTAACTCTTAATTAAAGAAATGATATACCAAATGCATCGATCACTAATAAAGAAGTAGATGCACAATCCTATACAAAAGTTCTCTAAAAACTGTCGCCAATTGTTGTGACGTAACTCTAGTTGAAATAAATATACATTTATGTAAATTCAACCTTAAATACATTGCCTATAGTGGTATTCACAAAGATACGTACGAAAATCAATAAATTTTTATGACTGATACTGGCTGGTCAACCTATATCAAAACAAATTCAACCTTACACGCGTGTTTTAAAGTCAGAATTACAAAGTGCTAGTAAAAAGGAATCACATTTTACGACCGAGGCTCGTAGTTTAGACAAGGAATCATTGGAGTCGAACTGCCCAATATTTTTGTTACTGTTATTTTAATTTTAAAATGTTTCAAACTTGTTTTAAAAACTGGTGTACATAAAGCATATTCTATTCTATTCTATGATGTATTATGTGTAATGGTTATAATGTACGTTTTTGGATAGGACACCACATTTATTTAGTAACGAAAGTACTTGTAACAGTCATAATTATTTATTTATTCTTCATCTTGTGTCAAAAATGTAAAAATATTGCTTGACAAAGAACTTAAATCTAAATTCAATAGTTACTAAATATAAAAAGTATGTAAAGAAAATTGTAAGTCGTAATTACATATTCATCAGTTTCTAAAACATGCTTCGAACATACAACGCTTCCTTGAGTTGAAGAATTCTTCGGACCTTTGACATGCTATGACTGATATCCATTCTGCACACCTAACTGGATCTCGAGGAAAGCTGAAAAATTAAAAATAAAATCTCACATCTTTAATTTTACTACATGCACAATCAGTTTCTACTATTGCACATATTCAAAATTAAATCTTTAATATGTTACTATAATATTTGGAGAAACTATAAAGAAGTTTCATTAAACAAAAAAAATCAAATAATAAAAAAATAATAACGTCTCCAACAAATGGAACAAAGTCAACGAACAATTATGACTAGGAGATTTCTTGACAAAATATAAGTATTTACAATACAGTGATAACAATTAAATAACGATAATATTAATACGTACCCAAAATTAGGAAATTCCATCCTTTTTTAGCGTCCTGGATGTGTGATTTTTACACTTTTTAAACGAGCACAGGCATTTTTACCGTCGGAGTGTTCGAATGTTACTAGATTAAAAGCGCACCCAAATGTTCGAATGGGTGCTCATTTGGTGAGGTCGTTTTTGTCACTGATTGTGTATCTAGTTTTTTATTAGTGATCGATGACCAAATGACATAATCTAAGTTTGAATCAAGTAATTTTCGTTTGCTACAAATTTAATGCAATTTTAACTATAATATCATAATGTCTGATTATATTGGCTTTCTGTTAGAATTGGTGAGAAAATGAATAAATAAATAACACTTAAAATCAAAGAGTAGAATAATACTTAGCTGTCCAATGGAATAGTCTAAGTTGAACATAAAATTTGTGGGCAGTAGTCTCCAGTACAAATAAACGTGAAATATATTTGTATATGTTATTAAAAAAAAACTGCAATAAAGTTTTAGTTATGCATAAAATTTAAACTATCTATGCGAGTGCCTTCAGACGCAAATTATTTAATGTTATCGTGACACCATTATTACCGACTAACAATAATTTATCGTAATGTTCTGTACATATACGAGTATTTAATGTAAGCTTAGGTTATCATGATCAAAAGAAAGCTTTATTAGTTTAAGTCTTATTTTGTCGACAGCTTTTGTGACGGTGTGAGATTTTTTACGTTTAAAGGTTGTTACTTTTCAGAAAGAAATTGTGAACAATGAACACATTATATGGTATCAATATTTAAATCACCATTACTAGAAAATTTTATGATTCCGTTGATCACATTTTGATTTTGATGAACATTTGTTATTTCATACAAAATTACAAATACCGAGATTTCGTTACATTATTAATTTATTGTAGTCATTGATTGCTTGAGGTTTTATTTTATTAACTACTATCAAAGGTATATTTTGAATTATTTAAATTATATGCAGTAAATGGTACCCTAGGGCTAGTTCAATATTACACCAATATACCTCTATCATCGAAAAAGAGCAATAAGTTTTCTAATCTGTACATGTAATAGGCGGATCAATTTTAGATTTTTCGAAGTTCTAAACGTAAAACCATTTCTACAATATTTCTATAGAAGAGGGGGTAAACGAGCATGCGGCTCACCTGATGGTAAGTATAAATTATATACAAGGTGTAAGTGTAAACACCGTTGTCACTAAAACCATAGGTTTTAGTATAAAAATATTTATCCGAATTTTTTCAAAAAAATACGCTATTTTCTTTCATAAAATTAAGTTTCTGTCCGACACCGACCGTAAATTCATGGATACCCTATGCGCCCGAGTGACGTAATCACTGTAAAGATCACCGCCCGCGCTAGCTAACTACACAACATTCCAATAAAAACACAATACACCTATATACCCACAATACACCCATACAACATAACCTGTGATGTAACTTTTCTTTCATACCTTCATCCTGGCTTAGGACAGGCAAAAATTGAGGAATTAAGGAAAAATTGAGATTTTACTTTTAAAAAATGTTATTTTTCATTGAATTCACATTCTATAAGTGAAACCAAACCACTGGTTTAAAGGATAACGGTGTTTACACTAACATCCTGTAATACAGTATTTTCTGTCTCGAAGAGACTACATTGTTAAAAGTGAAAATATGACAACAATAGTGTTATGTTACTGTAGTCACATAATATAACAACATTCCGACGTTTCGTTTTTTTTTTTTCTAATTTATAAAAATTTTCGATTACATCCGCATCATTTCACATTATGGCATGTTTTGTCTTTGGAATTCCAGTTTAAAATTATAATATTGTTAAATTATGAGTTATTTATACTATTGTAGGACCCAGTGTTTATTCGCTGTGCTTATCCTTGAAGTAATATTGTAATGTAACCTAAATGCTAACTTTGAGTGATTTTACATTTTACTATGCTGCGATTAGATAGAAAAGGAATCAAAAGGCTCTTTTCTATACAAGCTAAAAAGAAATCAATACTGCTAAGAAAACTTTTGTATAATCTGTAGGTGCTGATATCTCAGTTTTTGCGATATGTATACTCTTAATAATATTCTTTATTAAATCTATTTTATGTCCACGTTAGATATAATTTATTGTGAATATGCGTTATTGCGACTGATATGCTGTACATAAAAGATAAGCGACTGAGTTTTACAATTATTGTGTTATAAAACTTCACAAGACACGTACCCACCCACTACTTGATACTTAATTATAGGTATTTGTATTCCTTAATTTATGCTCCTGCATAGTTTTGTACAGTTTTCATAAAGAGCCAAAGCGTTTCTGTTAACCGCCATAATTACAATATTGGACGATTTTTCTCCCCACGTTTTGCTGACCTGTTTCTCACGACACGGAACTGCGTGTAGTTTTATATTACTGTAGCCAATTATGTAACATTCCAATAATAAAGTATTTACCAAATAATTGTATTTTATTACATTAGGTACCCAAATCTCTAGGGAAACTACAAGACTATTAACGACATGGGGTAATTTTTAATTTTTTTTATAAATTTTGATTGTATCTGGACGAAGACGCGGCGAGTCGCTAATAATAAAATAACAGATCAAAATAGACGAGCGCTCGCTACCGCCATCTACGCTGACCGATATATTATTTACTACATACTACTCTTGCCGCAATTAACCATTTCTTTTCGTGTATACATAAGAGTTTAAATCCATTTACAAAAGATACACAGGGGCATTAATATGGATATGTAGAACATACCTCAACTAAACCCTATTGTGCCGATGCTGGA